TTAGGGTCTAGGGTTTAGGGAAGCCTAACCCCGGAACTGGAGCCACCAGCAATCCTGCGTGTCTCCAGAGTCATAATATAGGAGCCTCAATACCTACCTATATCATTGTGAGGTGCCTTATTATATTTATACTATAAAGGAACCCAAAACCCTATTCTAATTATTAAGCCCTCTATAGTACATAAGCGGGTCAGGGAGTTAGGGTTTAGAGTCCAACAGTTTGGGAACTTAGAGCTTGTGGGTTGAGTATGTTTGAGTTTTTTGGGGTGGGGCCGCAGGACTTCTTGTCTGGCTTTGAGATTGTGGATTACTTCTGGAGTTGAGTGTATACGGAGCATATGCGCTCCCATACTCATGGGCTTCTGGGCAGTGCCCTAAGTACCTCCTTCAAGCCTGAAGCACTAGTCTCTCTATCTAGGACATTTTCAGGCGGGTAGTTACCGTTATAGGAGCCTTATAGAAGGTCTATATACCTTATGGAAGCCTTCAAAGAAGCCCTATATACCCTAAACTCCCCACCTGTAGTTCCTTTAACTCTATGATGGCACAAGCTACCCTAAACCCTAAACCCTAAACCCTAAACCCTAAACCCTAAACCCTAAACCCTAAACCCTAAACCCTAAACCCTAAACTCAATCCCTTGTTCGTTCTGGCACGAAGAATCCGAAGTCCTAACCTTTCGATGCAGGTCCGGGTTCCCAAAAACCACATGGAGGCCGGCCGGGGATTTTGGGGCTTAGGGTTCAGGGTTTAGGGGTTTAGGGTTTAGGGTTTTGGGGTTTAGGGTTTGGGTTTTTAGTTACATAGAGGCCGGCTGGGGAGTACCTGAAGGGTCATACCCTACCCCTTTTTTAAGGTACCTAGCTTTATGGATAGGATCTGTTATATAAAAAAGTAGGCACCCTAAAAAAGGGGTAGGGTATGATCCTATAGGCATAGTGAAGCCCGGAAAGGTGGAACATGGATTTAGGATGATTTGTGCTGGGATCCCCTTTCACTCTATCGTAAGGCCATGAAGATTATAATGTTCCAACTTTATTGGTAGGATGCTGAGGCTGCAGCGAGCAGATTCATGGTGTTGGCGGGGTCCTGGGATTCAAGGAGTGTTCAAGCTGTTGGGGGCTTTTCGGCTGCTTGAGTCATTGAGACTTTAAGATAACGCATGTGACGGTCGAAGTTGGGAAGATGGAAGGCTTTCCTTTCAATTTTGACCGACATGAGTGGACTCGATTATGCTTGCTGGGGATCTAGAAAAAAGAAATCGAACGGTCAATCTAGGAAGTGCAGCCTGTAAGACTTCATGCTCGTTAACCATCTGTGGCAGCGATCGCAACAACGACATTGCAGTGGCGTCTTCATATCGAACTACGAGGACAACATGGAAGACGACGACGACGACGACGACCACCACCACTTACACCACTGCCACCACCGCAACCACTGCTACCACTGCCACGGCGTAGACACCGCGACGCCGCCAGCGACTCCCCGTAGTCAGGTTCAGATATACGATGACCTACAGTTTTATGGGTTCTGCCTACTAATTAAGGGATAATGACTGCAAAACTGTAGGTAAAGAGAGCTACAGGTAGTCGTTCGAAGCCTCATAGTATCGGTGGCACTATGCGCAATATTAGCGTCCATCGCCCTCTGCAGATATCCGTGCACGAAAAGCTACCGTCATGGTCATCATCATCATCATCATCTTTTTCTTCAGAACCGTAAACTTACTTATGAGAATCCCCAAGAATCCAATGCCCGAGACCTCCTATGCCCTAAACCGTAAATCCTAAATTTTCAAGCCTAAACCCGAAACCTTAAAGCCCAAACCCTAAACCCTAAACCCGAAAGAGCTCCCCCGTCCCGGTGCAAGGCCCTATTTAACCATCTCAATGGCTTGTACGTGAGCATGACGGAGGCCGAAATTGAAGGCCCAACCGCTTTGAGAGTTTAGGGTTTAAGGTTTACTGGGTAGGCCCGGGGCTTAGGGTTGAGGGTTCGGGGTATAAGCTGGGTTGAGGGTTTAGGGTATGAGGGTTACCATTAGGGCTTAGGGTGTTGAAGAGCGACTAAAAGGGTTACTAGGTAGGCCTTTATACGCTGTTTCGTTATGTGTTTTCCATATCCTTATCAACAAATTAAATCTGTTTCAAAGGCTTCAGAAGGCCAAGCCGTTTAGGGTCTGTTTGGGGTGCTGGGCTTAGCTAGACTTGTGTTCGAGTTTGAAGTGCCTTTCTTGTGCCATTTAGTAGGATCCTAAATGCAAGCTTAATCCAGAAAAAGAATTACAATGGAGACTATAGCAGGATAGAGTCCCTAGAAGCAGCCCGTGGCACTCTACTTCGCCGTCGCGCAGGCTCGAAAACGAAACAATCCATCGTGCTCCACTCTGGTTGGAGCAGGCAAAGTGGGAGAGAAGAAAATCATTGCGGTGATTGAGCCGGAGGAGCTACAGACCTATCACTATGTCAGTGCTCGGTTTACAGAAGGACGAGTCGCACGGACGCCATTGCAGCGGCGAGGGACGCTGATCTGACAGACCGCGGGCGCCTCCGTTCGACATCTTCTAGCATGTGTTCCCGAGTCGGCCTCAACCCTTTTTCTTGTTGTGTCGAGAGAAGCCGACTGTGCTAGGCCAAATACTTCGCAGAATGGGCTCGGGAATATCTGGTCAAGCATTCTATCGCATGTCCTGGACCAATCTTGGTTCCGACTGTAAGGCGAAGAAGGGAAGGAAGCTCCTCCGTCTCAGGAGTTGGAAATTTGCGAGAACGACAGGGTCTGGGCCGAAAGCATAGCCCAAAGCTACAAGCTGGACTGCTGACCAGTTCATGGCAGACATTTGCTGGCCGAGTCCCGAGCAACCCACTGAAGGAAGAGTTGGTCGCCGTTTGCGAACCGACAACCGAGGCCTGGGCCTGGGCCTTGGCCTTGGACCAGTAAGTTAGCGGCCCGAGCCCGAGAGGACACTGACAGCGCAGACCGGGCAAGCAACCTTTCCCCTCCCGGAAGCTCCGAAACTTCAGCTGCTGTGAGCACGAGGCCGGGTCACTAAGAAGGGCACGTTTCATCCCGACCCAAAAACACAACAAGCGAGCAGAGACAGCAGACGACCCCTGCTGCACCCAGACCTGAGTTTGTGTCATTGCAGGCCTCCATGTCGTTCGGAAGTACACAAACGTGCGGCGGCATCCGAAACTTCCTCGGCTCTGCAGCTACTGCTCTCGGTGTCGTCCTATTCGTTGCTCGTCCACATCCAGGACGTCTTCCAGCATCACTTCAAACGCATCAGTGTGTTCGTAGCTCATGTTCATGCTACCTGAGGACCATGGCGGCCTCTGTCGAGCATGAGACGCGCAATGGTGCAACTGCTGGATGCGCTGGGGTATGTGACGTCAGGCCTCTCCAACGAGGATTGGTTGACATCATGTCTGGCATGGTTAGTGTCGTTAGTCTCGGCCCCGACCTGTCACCGTCGACAGCGCCGAAGCTTTGTTTCTTAGCCGGCGCAAACTTGATGCCTGCCGAGGTCTCCTGGCATGCAGCCCGGCTGCACCGCGGCCGCACAAAAGCAATCGACCGACTTCGCTTCGTTCGCGTTTGTAAACATCACAGCTAAACGTGGCTTGCGCTCTTCATTTGGTTGCAACATCCATTCCTTAGACATGTTCCGAATTTCCTCTCTTCCCTTCTTGCAACTTTTGGGACATGTCCAAACACGCAGCTTCTTCTCCTCCTTCCCTGGCTTCATGTTCAAAACGTACATTGCTGTCTTCCTCTTGTTGCAACTTCCGTTCCTTGGACATATCCGTAAACTGAACTTACTGCTCTCCCTCTTCTTGCAACAGAACGCGCTTATCGAGCTAAGCCATAAAATAATATGTTTTCAGTCAGCGACATTTGGAAGCGATATGTCTTGGAGAGAGTGCATCAAGCTAGCCATACAGACATGTCGCACGCGCCTTTAGCCTGGAAGATGCCAGCACACGTGATGCAGCGGTGGTCGCGAGCACCGGCCCTCGCCCTTCCAAGAACTTCAGCCACATCTGGTCATCCCGGACAGCAGCTTATGCGCTGTCCCGGCCGAGGCCCAGACGACCGGTTATGGTTGCGAGGATGTTCAAAGTCACCAGGACTTGCCGCATTACGACGGCACCGTCGTGGGAGAAGTGTTGAACCCCATTCCGCTATTACCGGCTTACTGGAAGGGCTGCTTCCGTGGCGGGTTCCACCGTCACTTCCTGGACTGGTCGTGTGATCATGAAGCATAAGTTGGAGGATTGCATTTATTATCTTTCGAAGAACGGCGATTGGAAACGACTCACTATTGTCGCCATGCTGTGCGCAGGTCCAGTTCTTAGTCCCGAGCGAAGATGGAAGTCCTGTCTCCAGGCAACGACATCAACAAACCGGCCGAGTGGGCCGAGAACTTGGACAACGAGATTAATTACCCGGCTAAGGGAGGCTGGTTGCAAATGGCAGGAGTGTGAATACTACCGTTACGACGTTTGCTTGATCGACGTCGTTCCCTCCGACATGCCGTCGAATGCCCGGCACCTGTTGGGGTTCAGGGGTTTGGGCCAGGGGTTTAGAGGGGTAGTATAAATTCATATGCCCCCGAAACTCTATTCTGGTTATTGATTACATCAGGATTTCACGTTTCCCAGGAGCTTTGAGGTCTATGCAGCCGTAGGTTCTAGCCTCTAAGGTTCGTAGCCCATCGCAACAGACAAAAGGTACTGTCATGTATTTGGGGGTCTCTGGTTTGGTTTAGGGTTGGGCCCTGGGCGTTGCAGGGGCTCCTCCTTAAACACTGAATCCCAATCTCGGAACCCGACTCGCGCAATCTGAAAGCCTGAGCCCGAAATGAGAAGCCCCCGCCCCAGTGTCCTTACTTGGGACCCTGTAAAACGTAGTACAGTTCCCGGACCTTAATTTATCTTGAGCCCTTGTAAACAAAACCTACAACGACCTTGTGCCCGGGATCTTGTTGGTCGCAGGTGTCCCGTTCAATGCAGAGGGACTCAGAGTGGAGCCCAAGAAGAAGAGTTCCTATCTCAGCATTCCGATTAGAAATCCAGGGTTTAGGGAATTTTGTCTGCTATGTTATGTAGCATCTGGTATTTTAGGGTAAGTGGGTTTAGTGGTTTCTGTACGACAGCGGGCATGTTGGTAGGATTTACATCACGGTGGACACTTGGATGGTCATCGATGCGGGAAACCCGAAATACCAGGACGCTGCATGGGAAAACCCCAAAAGCAAAACCTTATATAACGCTAAGAAGTTCCGGTAACAGGCTTATCGCTATGTCTGTTTGGAAGCGAAGGGACACAAGTTGGTTGTGAACATGTGTATGCACGGGTGGATCGATAGATGGATGTCTGTCACCGTTTCTGCCTGACTGCCCGCTTGTCTGTCTGCGTGAATGCCCCTGTCTGCCTGCCTGCCTGTCTGTGACTGCCTGTCTATCTGCCTGTGAAAGTGTGCGGATGTTTGCATGTGTGCATGCGAGGAATTAGGTATGCACATATATACATACAGCCTGCAAACAGTATGCGCATTCGGATCTGCCAAGGCCGCCGCTACAGCATCTGTGCGCATAAGATCTGCCACAAGCCTGTTGACGCAACTTGTCAGACAGTTGACCCTAGATTACACCCCGTCTCCCCCACCCTCACAAGCCCTAAACCCGCAAACCCTGAACCCTAAACCTTAAACCCATGAAAAGAATCGGTGTCCCTCAACAACCATGGGTCGTTATGCGCTCGTTTTGGGCAAACTGTTGCCAAGGCTACCATCCGGTTCCGTCACAGGGCACTCTGACTTCCGTGCGGGGGCCCAGCCACACCCGCGCTAGCTTTACCCGGACTTCTGAAAGGATCATCAAGAATGGCATGCACCAAGACTATGGGTATCCGCTGATGTCCTCGGTAGCTGTCCGCACGAGTAGTAGCCGTGGTGGCAAAATCTCAACCTCTCCAACGACCTGGTATTTGCTGTTGTTATCATGGTTATTATTCAGAGTTGTTATCAGCATTCTTGTTTTTAGCTCTCCTATACCCAACCTTTAAACTTTTGGGGTTCTTATAACTTAGTAGTAATCTGAAAGTTTAACCTTTTATTTCCGTGGCTTATTGGGGAAGCAAGTGTTATGATTGATGATCAGAACTATGTTATCATTGTCATTATCATTATAATCAATGTTACTCTATTGGCAGTCACCAGATTCGGTGCCTTGGAAAACCCGACAGTGCCGCCACTATCTGCTGAAATGACAAACCATTCCTACATTCAATCGCCCCGGGACCCTCCCTTGTTATAGATCCCCACTACTATAGAGTCCGTACAAACCCTAAACATAAAGCCCTGATAGGTTCCTAAGACCTTCTAGAACCCTTTAAAACCCTGGACCTGAGCTACACCGAAGCAGATGCTTGAGTGTGGGCTTTAACATCTAGAGCCCTGCGACGCCGTGCTTGAACTGAACCAGGGTTTCGGGTTTTGTTGCGATTGATCTAGGGATCGGAATAATCAGAAGTCTTATTGCGAAATAAGACCCTTTTCAAAGCCCCGAAATTATGAATAGGATCATGGGCCCCCAACGCTTCGTTTTGATTTCTAAATCCCGTATGGTTCGTGTTGATCTCATATACTGGTTAGGCCGATGCTCAGGGCATTACAAGACCCTGGGACCAAAATACTAAACTTTTAAACCATTGTCCCTGCGATCTCTTCGAACCTGCTACTATGTTGCAACCTACCGGGACTCCATCCAACGTTCCCACAAGCTTCGGGGTAGTATACCCTGAGCCCGATGAAGCTAAACTCGAAACCCGACACCATTCCCTAAACCCTAAACCCTAAACCATGAAGCCCCAGCCCAGTTGCGATTCCTGGCCATGAAGACGATGCAGTGCCCAGGGGAAGATCCCGAGGTGGGGCGGTGTTGGGGCGGCAGAGAGGTTAGGGAAACCCTAAACCCTAAACCCTAAACCCTAAACCGACCCCTAACCCTAGACCTAAAGCCTAAACCCAGAAACCCTAACTCTTAAACCCTAAACCCCTAAACCCCTAAACCCTAAACCCTAAACCCTACCTAACTTCTAAGCCCTAAACCTAAAGCCTAAACAGTTGTGGTGAGGGTCTGGGGTCTAGACTTGGCATAGTGCCTCAATGTTCAGCAACTCCTTTCTTTATAGGCTCTGGGGTTTAGGGGTACAGTACTGCAGCTGTCTATGCAGGGTTCTGCTCAAGGTAGGGCGCGGAATTTGATGGAGGGAAACACTTCTAGAGTCTGTGGGTTTAGGTTTAAGGCTTAGGTCTATCACCGGAACCCTAAACCTTGTACATGGCAGCACATTACTTTACAGGGGACTTTACTTGGAGGTCTTTGCTGGATTTCGGGATCTTTTGGGACCTTGCGGAGATGGGCTCCCCTAAGCCCTTAAACCCCTTCCGAACTTTTTGGGTGCTTCGGGGTCTTTATCTCAAGTCCGGGATCTGGATTGTACTACATGATATAATGAACCCCCCAAAAGTTGGAAACCGGATGAAGGACAAACAGTGCTGGGATTCCCTATACATTACTCTGAAGGATTGAGGCTATTGGGTTTCCAACTCGTAGGCTCCTACTATAAGGTTGCTGTAGGAGTTAGCACACGGATTTCTGTAAGGGTTGCTGCTCATGGCCCGGAGTCTGGTGGTCACAGAGTTTCGGGTTTGAGCTTGATGCGCATGCAGCGAGCAGCCCTTCCTGGGCTATGGTTTCCGAATTGGGGGCCCAAGAAGAAGAGTCAAACACTAAAGAAGCCTGAATAATTAGACTACGATTCCTCAGGGTTCCTACTACAACTGTGCTCTACTGTACCTCCAAGATTCCCTTTAACCAGTCAGGCCCCTAGATGGTACAGAAGCCTTTGAAAGATCATGCCAAAGGAAATCCCTTATGGAACCCCTGAACATAAAGGAAATCCCTTATAGAAGCCCTGAACATAAAGGAAATCCCTTATAGAACCCCTGAACATAAAGGAAATCCCTTATAGAACCCCTGAACATAAAGGAAATCCCTTTATAGAACCCCTGAACATAAAGGAAATCCCTTATAGAACCCCTGAACAAAGCCTTGAAATCAACCCCTCTTGTACTGATTAAGGCAGCTGCATTAAAGCAACAGGGCCGAGCCTTCCAGCCCTTCAGCAAGGCGCCCGAATCGGACCCCTAGTGACTCCGTTACTATGCCGTGTTATGGTCCGAGGGTTTAGGGTTTTGGGATTTTGGGGTTGAGGGCTTTAGTTGTAGTGGGTAGAGTTTCGGGTAAGGAACATTCCTGAATCGAGGGATAGCGGTGTCTCTGCGTGCTTTCCCCTTCCCACCAACTCATGCTGAGGCAGCTGGACATCTGGAACCCACCAGACAAGAACTTCTCCTCTTCGCGGTGCCTGGCCGTAATACAGGGGTCGACTCCATTCGTAAATACATTTCCTCAAAGCTTCCATGATTTCTGTTCGGGCAGAACCCCAAATCCTATTCTAACTGTAAGGCACCTTCTGGTATGCCGTTTCCACATTCATCGCCCCCTGGATTGCACCCCACTGAAGTCCTAAAGCAAGCAAGTTTCACGGTTCCCCTTCAAACTCTGAATTGAATTCCTAACTCCCACAATAGTCCTAAGCCCCAAAAACCCAATAATTCCTGCTTCCGGAGCCTCCCAAAACCGCTTTTTTGGGGGTGCAAGAGGCTTTCGACTCAAGGTCGCTCCTTGCTGCTTGTTTTTTGCGTGTCCCGGTTTTCCTAGGTAGTACTAGGGAGACCCCTTAAAGGGGACCCTTCTGAACCCGACTTCTGGCTCTCTTAAGGGTTTAGGGTTTAGGGTTTAGGGTCTAGGGTTTAGGGTGGACCTTATTGAGAGGATCTACATCCCCAAGGGTACCCCTAATCCAAACTCCCAGGTTTAGGGTTTAGGGTTCGTTTTGTTCAAGTGCTTGCAGGCCCCTATTAGAATTACTTATTGGTATTCTTTGGATTACTAGTATTAGCATCTTTTGTACGATTCGTAGTATTAGCATCATTCGATTCTGAGTATGTTAGTAGTAATACTGGTACTATTCGTACTTTCAGCACTATTATCTTTGGCCCACCCGCAAGCTTCAAAAAAAGAGGCTCCGTGTGATGTAGTAGCAGTTAGTTGTCGTAGCAGGCGCAGTCGTCGTCGTCGTCGTAGTGGTTACTACAAGTGTGAATCATAAGCCCCAAATATCCCCAAAACCATTGTAAGGATGGTCTTTTGGGGCCCAATTCCATATGGTGGTATAAGTATAGTATATATGGAGCCTCTGGGAAAGGCTGTATTCTGGGAAAGGCTGTATGCAGCCAGCAAGGCCCGGAAACGGAAAGCTAAAATTTCCAAACTCGGGAAGGTCGACCTGTTGCATTGTTGGTGTTTTTTGGGGGCGTTTGAAGTTTGGGTATGCCAGTTTTGTTTTTGGTATTCAGGGCTTACTGGGCCTCAGGATTTGTGGTTTTGCGGCTGTGGGTTTACGCCTTAGGTAACGGTTTTAAGGTCTCGGTCTTGCACTGTTCACGTTGATCGAGTGCTTTACTTGTCGTGCCTTGGGCTTCCAGCGGGTCGTTTCGGGTTTAGGCCTGTACTTGAGTTCCACTACAGCAGGTGTGAAAAGCCTGAGCCTTCTACAAACCCTAAATCCTGGACCCCAAAACCCTAAACCCTAAACCCCCAAAGCCCTAGACCCTAAACCCTAGACTCCCCAAGACCTAAATCCTAAAAGCCCTACCCTAAACCCTAAACATCCCTAAACCCTAAACCCTAAACCCTAAACCTAAATCCTAAAAGCCCTATCCCGCACAGCCCGAAGCCTCCAAGCCAGCCTCAGGTCTTGGCCACGCGCCAAGTCATGGAGTGTGAGTTGGAGGCCGAACGCGGTTGTGTGCTTACCACTGCATGTAGGGCTTGCAGGGTTTCTGGGGTTTAGGGTTCAGAGTTTACAGCTGAAAATTGGGCTTATGGGGCTTTAGGATATAGGCCCTCAGGCTTTGAGTAGTGTTTATGGTGTGGAATGTCGGGGGGGTATGGATTCACCGACTGGTATTTACGATATCACCCTAAACCCTAAACCTAAACACGGACAGAGACTTGAAGTCGATAGAGCTATGTCTGATACTCCAACCCCTGCTCCAGCTTTTACTGCTCGTCCCCCACTCCTCCTCCGAGTCCTATTGCTGACGCTACCACTACTGCAGCTGCCAGCTTTGACGAAAGTAATCATAGTGCTGACGCAAATCAATACTTGGAGGATCATGGGACCTAGTAACTAGGGTTACAAATAAGGTAACTATACTTATAAGTAGTTATAACCCCAATTAAGGTAGTTATAACCTTACTTTCTAAGTCCCATGATCCTCCAAGTAGGGTTGTTGCTGGCAGTCGAGAAGAGGCGAGCAGACTGATCGGGATGACGAACCCACCGTTGCTAATTATGGATCCCCTCTAGCTCCCCTCACCCTAAACCCTAAACCCTAAACCCTAAACCCTAAACCCTAAACCCTAAACCCTAAACCCTAAACCCTAAACCCTAAACCCTAAACCCTACTAGCTCCCCTCAAGGAACTCTTGAAAGGAAACCCATACCTGCCCCTAAACCAGAACCCTCTATTCAAAAATTGCGATTCAAGGCCGTTACTATCGAATCCTTATTATCCCCTTTTTCTGGAATCCCGTTTAAGGAATCCTTTGTAAGGCTCCCCTCTTTACCCTAAACCCTAAACCCTAAACCCTAAACCCTAAACCCTAAACCCTTTCAAGGAAGCCCTTACCCAGAAGTGTCCAGGAGATCATCGGCGGGCCCATGGCCGTCTTGGCGCTGACACAGTTGGAAAAGGCCAGGGTTTAGGGTTTAGGGTTCATAGGGTTATTCAGGGGTCTACGGATTGTAGGTCTAAGCATGTCTTGCGTTTGCCTCAGCGGGCTTTGCGGGAGTGAGTGAGCGTCCTGGGCGGATTCAGGCGAGCGAAGAAGCTCCGCACCAGCAGGTTTCGACTTTAAGCCCAGGGGCGGACCAAGGGAAATAAGATCTCTGGTCTAAATGACTTTTGTTTTGATCCGCGCCTGCCGGGCGGTTCTGCCGGGCGGAACAAATGTCCCTCTGGACCCATGCAAAAAATCTTCTAGCTTGGGGCCAGTGGCAGGGTGCAGGAGTAAAGAGGATCAACAAGGGCAACAACGAACGAACACCACGGCCAGTGGCAAAGAGGGGATCCTACTGGGGGTTACGATACCCAGAACTCTACACATAGCTACGTTTGCTAAGTCCCCCGACCCTCCAGGCACCGGGGACTTAGCATCTGTAGTGATGTACAGAGTTAGGGGTATTATATCCTCAACAAAGGATCCCCTCCCAGATTGGGAAAGATCTCACGCGCAAAGCGTCCAAAGATCCCTTAATTTAGCTTCCCTTCTTCAGGGTTCTCCCAAAAGCTACAGTTTAGGGTGACTATGGCTTAGCCAAGAAGTATGCGGTTCTCGGGAAGGCCATAGGCTCTTCTTCGCGAGCTCTACCGGCAGTCTCTATTGAAGTTCCTTTGTTGCTTGTCTTGTTTCTTACTTACTATAGGGTCCTAAACAAGTGCCTAGCCAAGAAAGGAAATACAGTGGAGACTAGAAGCAGTCCTGATCAAACGTGCACTGCTTGTCTTCCTGCCTGGTTCGGGGCTCGAGTATGTGGAATGCCGCCTACTGTTGAGCTCCGAGCAGACTGTGTAGCTGCAAGGATATTCAAGGATTGCTGGTATTGTATTTTTCGGGAATTCTCGACTTCTCTCCCCCGATCCAACAATTGCCCCCTCGACGCCCGAAGCCTTGAAACTGTTTCGCCCTAAGCCCTAAACCCCAAACACAAAACCCCGAAAAATAAATACTCATCTCCAGCCCAAAGCAACCGTCCCAAGCTTGGAAGGCACGACCACGGCCGCTCAAAGAGGCAGGGCTGCCTCGGATCCTGCGTGTACTTGAGTCTTGAGTAGAGTTGTTACCGTCGTTTGCTTGTCATGTTGCTTCTGGGGTTGAGGGTTTAGGGCCTAGGGTCCAGGGTTTAGGGTTTAGTGTTTAGTGTTTAGGGAGGTTTGTTCTTGAAACATCCCCGTTGGGCTCTGGATCTGTGTGTTTTGTGGGTGTTTGCTGGGTGCTACCACTGCTTCAGCCGTAATTGCCCAGACCCCCAAAAGGATCTAAAAAATAGATCCCTAAGGGGGTTCCTGTAAAGTACCCTTTAGTAGTTAGGGTCCCTAATTAGGAGATCTATTTTTTTAGATCTTTTTGGGGGTCTGGGTGAGTTGGTTTGAGTGTATCGAATCAGGCCAAGAGGTGAGTAGCATCGCTCAACCCTCTCAGAATCGAACTTTAAATCACATAACAAGGGTTTAGGGTTTAGGGTTTAGGGTATACAAACGAAGTACCATTCATGAAGCTTTCGTGCCAGTGCGATCAGGCATTCAATGGTGCATTGAAGACGTCGTACTTCATGCACTGCGTCGCAAGTAGCTGGTAGCATCCAGAGGCATCAACTTGTTCCTTGGTGGTCTCGCAGTGATGCGGATAGGGTTTAGGGTTTAGGGCCGTGACAGTTGTGGTCGTCGTTGTCGTCGTTGTCGTGGTCGTAATAGTAGTAGCAGTAGTTGTTGTAGTAGAAGAAGTAGTAGTAGTCGTCGTCGTCGTCGTAGTCGTAGTGGTAGTAGTGGTGGTAGTAGTAGTAGTAGTTGTTGTTGTTGTTGTTGGTGTTGTTGTTGTTGTTGCTGTTGCTGTTGCTGTTGCTGTTGCTGTTGCTGTTGC